AAAACAGACAGATTCTGTGTTTTAATAGTATACCTACTGTAAAAAAACAGACAGATTCTGTGTTTTAATAGTATACCTACTGTAAAAAGAGGACTTTTTTGTTTTTTAATAGTATATATACACAGTGAAAAAATGAACAGATTCTTTGTTTTAATGGGATACCTACTGTAAAAAAAATATTATTTTACTAATTTAATGCTCTTCAAGCAGCATAGAAATGGCAGTTGGTAAGGATAAACATATACATATGGGAAATACACTATTAATGGTTTACCATAGTAAAAAAAAACATTTATTCTATACTGTATGTGTAGAGAAGCAGTAAATAGTTTGTTAACTGTGAACTTACAATTAGTACAAAAACAACTTTGCAATTAAAACAGATTCTTTAATGAATACAAATCATTTAAATTCCAAATAGCTAGTTATACACACAGTAATACATATTGACATGTGAATCACACAGTGAGAGGTCTTGGCAAATAATCTCATAGCAAATTAGTTTTAAATGTTAGCTTTAAGATAATTGAGGACAAGTGGGCAAATTACAAGTACTTTACATTAAGAAACCAGGTTAAACTGCAAGATGGCAGGAAACAGACGATACAACTGGGTCTTCTTCCGCTCCAATACTGATACTTCAATGGCTGTAAAACAAAAACAAAAAAAAAAAAACATTACTAATGACATTTCACTTACAACTGGGGTGATTCCTTGCATGTCAATAGTTTACACAAATGGAAGTTTTATCATCATCTTCTTGTCTCACTCTTGTAATTTCAAGCCTGTCTGACTGACATACTTCCACAGAACAAAGTAGGAGAAATAGGAGCAACATTCTTTAAAATATGATATTTTGTGTTTTGCAGAGGAAACAAAGTCATACAGGTTTAAAATGTCAAGAGTGAGTAAATTATGAATTATCAATTATTCAGTTTTGGGTGAGAAATCACTTTAAGATTTTTCAAAATAAAGTGTAGGTACTTTTGACAATATTCGGAACAATAATGCAAGAGAGAAACAGTAATATAAACAAACTATGCTGGTAACACTATAATAACTACAGGCTATGATTCATTTATGAAGCATTAGCAAATAGTGAATTCATTATCTGTTAAGCATTGACTCTAAATTAATAGATGTTAGCAGTCGGTTATAAATACAGCTGCAAAATTTGCTACAGCTACAGTTTAATAATTGTGTTATCAAACTTTAATGATTGATTTTACACTACTATTTATTTTATATATATATATATATATATATATATAATATTATATTTAATATTGGATTATTTACAAAACTTCTTCCAGTTGTGGCCTAATCTGTGAGGATTATTTATGATTTATAAATCCTTATAAACGACAGTTAAAGGCTCAGTAACAAATGAACATTCTTATCTAAACAGTCTTATCTAAAAAATGTAATTACTGTAAATATGAAACCTTGCTGAATAGCTGGAGTGCCAGAATATAACATAAAACTGGATAAAACAACACTAAAATAATTTAATGATATTACGATACAACATTTCAGTGTTATTTAGCTATGCTTAAACTGTACAGTAATTTTATTTTAGATAAGATTTATTTTTCATTTAATACAATAAAATGAATTTCATTTTTAGAATATAACTGAATCTTTAATTGTGATTTATAAGGGGATTTACAAAGCATAAACAATCCTCACTTTAGGCTACAAAACTGGATGAAGTTAACAAAAGCACTTATTAAAATAAATATTGTATATACTTTATATACTTATTTTTTATACTTTATTTACAAATATAACTATTACAATTCATTCATGTATTTTCCTTCAGCTTAGTGTGTACTCACACTATGTATAGTTGCCTTAAACCAGGCCGAAGCACTCTTGTCTTCCCTCCCGTCTCCCCTGACGTCCCACACTCACATTGCATTCGAGCCTGAGCACTCTTACATCATCGATGATGCGCTGTTTAGTTTAGGAAGTGCTCTCAGCACGGAGGAGAATTCTTTAGTTATATTGTTTTAGTCATTTGGGATGCAGTAACACGCTGTCAAATATTTCGCCGAACAGATCAGCCACTTTTGATGTTAATAAACAATCATAAATTCCTTGTGCTGCAGGAATAGGAGGTTTGCTAAAGGCGCAGCTGTGGTGCAGTAAGGGGTTTGCGTTCATTGAACAGTAATAGTGATTAATTTATCCAAATCAAAGTCCCTTGCAAACTGTCATAGATTAAAGACACAAACCCCTCACTGCACAACAGCTGCACCTTTAGCAAACCTCCTAGTACCTGCAGCACATTGACTTTGATTGTTTATGAGCGTCAAAAGTGGCTGATCTGTTCGGCGAAATATTTGACTGCGTGTCACTGCATATTGAACAACTAAAACGATATAACAATATAAAGAAATCTCCACTGTGCTGAGTGAGAGCACTTGTTAAACTGAACAGTGCATTATTGATGATGTAAGCATGCTCAGGCTCGAATGAAATGTGAGTGCAGGTCGTCGGGGAGACAAGCACGCTTCCAGTTTCAAGGCAACTGTGCATAGCATGAGTACGCCCTTGAAAACACCCATACACACATTTACAAACACACTCATACATAACAGCCAATTAAGTTAATCAATTTCCCTATAGCTTATGTCTTTGGACTGTGGGGGAAACCTAAGCACCCGGAGCTCTACTTGCTGTGAGGCAACAGTGCTAGCCACTGTGCTGCCCAACTATTACTATATGCCTGAATAATAAGATATATAAATGTTAGTTTGAATAGTTTATTAACCATTTACTTACACATTCTGAATGATTAGAAAAAAAATACACCAACTATTCTTAAATCACTGGTTTGTAAATAATGCTATACTAAATTTAGTAATGAAAAATTAATCATTAACAAAATATAAAAACAAAATCATTAAGCACATTATAGATGTGCTTATAAGTCAATATTACAGCATTTGCAGCTGTAGTTATAAACTGTATACTAAGGTCTATTAATGTAGAGTTAATGCTTAACAGAACTTTTTGCTAATGCTTAATAAATTAATCAATAGTGTTTAGTTATTATAAAGTATTACTGGTGTGCTTAATTACCTTTAAATCTTCCAAGGATTCTGAAAGTCTTTCTGGTCTGACAGGAATCGAAGGAGTTTAGATGGTATGTTTCTGTTTGGTGCTCTTTTTTCTGCTTTGGACCTACATTCTGGATAGTTACTCAGCATGCTCCTGTTGTAAATACAACAAACATGTATCAACTTACTTGTCTTATAAAACTGAAATAAACTTAAAAATGTAAAAACAGACCTTCATATAAACTCCAGAGTCAGGGCTGCTTCCTTAGGCTACATAATGTTTAGCACATAAGAGACTAAACATGTAGCTCACCACAATTAGGGGACAGCCCAATGATCTTGTTATTGTGACTGTGGACTCTTCTTCTGAAAAAAAGAAAAGTGAGTTGTGTGTTGGGTCTTGTACACGTCCACATGGAAAGAACCTATATAAACATATGGTTTAATATAGGTTTTGATTTAGGTTTTTGAAATATGTGACAAATATAAAATTGGCTGTTTTCCTATATTATATGTACATATATGGGTACATATATGCACACCTATATGTTAAATTATTAATATTATAAATAATATTATAAATATTATAATTATTATGTAAAATTATTCAAATACATGTCTGCTACATAACTTAAAAGAAATTAAAATATATATATTTACTTAATCAAATATTACAAGAAATAATTATAGTGCAAGAACAAAAATAAGGCAAAAAAAAACAATAAAGGAAAGAAAACAAAATTTAAAAAAATGACAAACCATTTTGTTTTACATTTCTTTCTTTTCCACTATCTTTATACAAGAAAGAATTGACCTTGAAAATGTTTCAGGAAAACGTGTAGACATCATAGCTTTCCATCTCCTCTCACTTATTTGCCATAGTTAAATTCCATAACATGCCAATAACATGTGATACAAAAGTCAAGTGGCACATACATAAGTTTTTCGCATTTTTTTAAGTTAGTTCTTACCCAGAGAGCAAACCTACGTTAAATTAACATTGAATAAATGTTAAAACATCAATCAAACTATCATTGAAACAACGTTAAAAAGTCACCACTGATTTTTAGGCAGTTTTCCACCCTGAAATAATGTTAATTCTATGATGATAAATAGACAAAACTGTCCCAAAATCAGCATTTATTCAACCAAAATTAAATCTTTTTTTTATTTTTACAATGAACCCAACATTAAATAAAATGTTAAATCAACCACACTATCATACAATTAATGTTGAAATTTAAATTTGATTTTTAGCCAGTTTTGCATCCTGAAATAATGTTATTACAATGACGCTAAATAGATTAAACAATCACAAAATTAGCATGAAGGCCTGGCTCACCATCAAGATGGCCACATTGAAATTGTCTCTCTCATCATCAGGTGGCTAAGAGAGAAAAGAAAAGAGATTCAGCAGTGGACCAGTTATTTCCTTATCACTTTAAGCAGACATTACCAAAATAAAGAACTTGTAACATTTCAAATGATGCAAAAATAAATAATAATAATAAATAACTGCTTGGTTTATTTAACAGATTACAGTAGCAGCTTAAAAAACCTAGATAAAACACCCACATCAACCCAGTACTTTTTAGTTTGAATACATGTTAACAAAATTCTAAATTACTGAAGCAAAATGTGTTCATGTAAACACTTAGTAAAAATATAGGTACAAGAAATTGGTTTTGCCAAATAATAAAAATAAAAGCATCAATATAAAAAAAACCCTGACCATTTTACCTCTTAAGCTTGAAAGTTTACTGTCATCCCCTGTACTAAGAACAGATGGTCCAGCACAACTGCCCGAGTTCTGAAAGAGCAAACACATTCTTGGTAAAATAACAATAGATGCAATGCTAAATATAAATCATTATTTATTTTTATTTTTTGTATTATTTATAAAAATGCAGTACTGACCAGTCAGCATCAATTTTTACACCAACACACCTACAACAAAAATAACACTCATTCAGTTTGAAACATGCACTGTAGTCTACTTTTATACTTTACATACTTTGTGAATAATAAAAAAATGAAAACATTTAAAACCCCAGCTGTATTTTATTTCATTTGTCTATATCAATTCAAATTTAGTTTGGATTGAACGTAAGATTTAATATTTTTATTTAGATTGCTGTGAAAATGTAACTGTACCTTGTACTTATAACCAAAATTACAGAACCTGGAAGTCAACAAAGCAAAATATCAGTGAACCTTATATGTACAAAACACTTAAAACCAAACAGAAAAAACGCTGAACATTTTACCTCTTAAACTTCAAAGTTTACCGTCATCTCCTGTATAAGGTACAGAGGGTCCAACACAACTGCATGAGTTCTGAAAGAGCAAACACATTCTTGGTAAAATTACAATAGATGCAATGCTAAATATAAATCATTGTTTATTTTTTTGGTTAAAAAATGCAGTACTGACCAGTCAGCATCACTTTTTACACCAACACACCTTCAACAAAAATAACACTCATTCAGTTTGAAACATGCAGCAGGTAGTCTACTTTTAAACTTTAAACTTTGTAAATAACAAAAAAATGAAAACATTTAAAATCCCAGGTGTATTTTATTTAATTTGTTCATATTCATTTAAATTCAGTTTGGATTGAATGTAAGATTTAAGATTTTAATTTAGATTGCTGTGAAAATGTACCTGTACCTTGTACTTATAACCAAAATGACAACATCTTGGCAAATGGCAAATCTTATATCATATATCAGTGAACATTATATCTACAAAACACTCAAAATCAAACAGAAAAACCCTGAACATTTTACCTCTTAAACTTGAAAGTTTACTGTCATCTCCTGTATAAAGTACAGAAGGTCCAGCACAACTGCCTGAGTTCTGAAAGAGCAAACACATTCTTGGTAAAATGACAATAGATGCAATGCTAAATATAAATCATTATTGTTATGGTTAAAAATGCAGTACTAACCAGTCAGCATCAATTTTTACACCAACACACCTACAACAAAAATAACACTCATTCAGTTTGAGACAGTCTACATTTAGACTTCACAAACGTTGTGAATAATAAAAAAATTAAAACATTTAAAATCCCAGGTGTATTTTATTTCATTTGTCTGTATTAATTCAAATTCAGTTTGGATTGAATCTAAGAATTTACCTGTAACATGTACTTATAACCAAAATGAAAGAACCTGAAAGTCAACAAAGCAAAATATCAGTGAACCTTATATGTGCAAAAAAAAAAAACTGACTCAAAATCTACATAAAAAGATTTCATTTGCGATAACACCATGTGTAGTTCACTCTATTATCAAGGTTTCATTCAAATAAAACTCCTGATCTCTTAATAGTAAAGAAAGTATTATTTGCTATAATGAATCGAACTGTCAATTAGTTTGAAGAATTTTAAGACTGTGGAAGAACAACTCATCTTTATATCTTCATATTAGCTGCCCTTGAGGTTCTTAAAAGTGAATAAATAAATATCAATGACAGTTCAACTCGACTACAACAAACATTTAATTGTGTGCTTTAAGGTACACGTTGTAGGCTATTTGAGGCCGAAAACGCATGACAGTGTAAACACTATAAATACTTTTAAATGTCACACACTTACTGTATCACTCTGTTATCTCTGTACACACAAACACACGTCGCGAAATGCGGAAGTTTTTTTTTTCGTTCCATTTGGTGAGCGTTATTAAATTCCATAACATTCTCATCAGTTCTTGCTTCTTATTTGCGTCTATTACCCCAGTTTGTCACGCGGAATGAATGAAATGTTCATGAGTTAAAGTGAAACTGCCGAACTGCAGTTAAAGTCAGGCATCCTGCTGATTTGATTCAGAAGGGCACTTGTTTGTCAGACGGCTCACCTGTCAGGTATACATCCGCGCTAAAATGTCAAAGTATGAAAGTCACCCATGAGCTGCAGCTCCCAACCCAACGTTGAGAATAGATTAACGGCGATATATATTTTTTATCGCGCGATAAGTCTCGCGTTAACGCAGCACGTTAATGCTGATAACGGCCCACCACTAATAATAACTTAACGAGTGTGTATTTCCCCTCATACCGAGTTACAAATGCCTCAATTTCACGCGAGTCTAACTTATAACTTAACGTTACTTAAAAACCAGCAAAGCTGTTCCACTGAAACTCGGTCACACAGCCTTAATACGTCGGTCAAACTAAAGCTAACATTTGATAACGTCAGTAAAAATATGATATTAGTTATTAATATGCAAACAAACACAGACGGTCAGGTGTTACGAGCGTATGAAACACGTTGACGTTAGTGTTCATTAAAGGTAACGTATATCAACCAAACTGCACAGTGTCACAAACTTTGAATGCTATCCCTTGTTCAATGCACTGTACAAAGAAAACATTTATATTTCTATTAAATAATTAACATACCTTTCACACTCTCACAGACAAGCTGACGTTTACCGTTAATCCAGTCAGACTCGCAGGTGCAGAGGGAGTGAGTGGGTGATTGGGACGTCACGTCACTTCCCGCGCACGGCAGTTTAGAAAAATACGGACAAACAACTGTAAATGAACAGATACCATATTTACTGATGAGGAAAACGCATAAAAAGGTAAAAAATCATTAGGTAAATGCTTGTTTAAATTACATTTAACCACTCATAGCTCAGTTTGATCTTAATGAAATAAAGTCTGATCTTATTAACAATATTAAACGTAATTCACTGCTGTACTTTCCATGGGCACTTCATACAAGACAAAATCATTTTAAATAACGATAAAAAGGTAATAAAGCAGTCTTTTAACTAAAATATTGTTATATGTTTTATTAATCGTACTTACCAGGGAAAAAACAGAGGAAGAAATATGTCCCGATGTCCATCAAACGCTGTCTGAGCTGCGATCCCCTTCCCACAATGCAATTCGAAAATGTATATAAACGGAAAAACACCCGTAATACGTGTATACGGAAAAAATCTGTTAAAATATACAGTCATTTAACTGTTATTTTACAGATTTTTTTTACAGTGTTGACACACTCCAAAGGGACTTTTGTTGAATCACAAACTCACCATAAACTTTAAATAGCCTGGGGACCACATTACACACAATTCGAGCTGCTTCTCATGTTCCATAAATCCAAATATATGTGTTGATATAAGTCTTTAATTTTATTGTCCCATCATCCTCTCTGTTTGCTAGCTGTGGTTTGGCCTCCTCCCCGGGCTTTGGCTTCCTATAAGTAGCTGGAGCAGGTCGGATTAATGATGAATCACCTCCTTACTAGTAATCAATCAGGTGGGATTTCTTGAGTCTCGGCGGGATTTCTCATCTCTTAAAGCATCCAGGCCAGCTTCAGCCTACAGGACCGCAGCTGTCTCTGCTGCCCCGCTGATAGCCTTTCTTAAAGGCAAACATCCCCAATTTATGGGGCGCCGCTATTGGTTTTCTTTGTTTTTGTGCACTTGATGTGTTTATGTTTTTATCAAAGTGCCCTTTTAAAGAAAGATTGCATAAATCCAAGGTCAACTAACATTAATGTTCTTATAATATACATTTAAAATTACCTTTATTTATTTTAGTATTTTTTGTTTGTTTTGTTTTTTTAAGATTCTCTTTCTTTATGAGAGTCTGCTCTGCACTGCTTTGCCAGAAAGGGGATTAATCAAGAAATAACATCATTCTTCAGTGTTTTAGCAGTGTATACATTATTAGAACATTATTTAGTATACATTATTTAGAAGTATATACATTATTAAATTATAAATTATTAAGTCAACTGAGAAAACTGGACTGAAGCAGTTTAAATTTACTAGAACTTCATTTACACTCAAGCACTATAGAAATAAAGATTAGTTGAATTGAATATTGTTTTAATGTTTTACATTACTGTCATAAAACAGCACTAGAATATTAAATATTAAGCTACTTTACCTTCAGTCAGCCACTCACATTTACTTTACTTCTTATCATGTGCATCATCAGCTCCTCATTTAGATGCACACAAATGCTTAGTTATCACACTGTCAGCATCTGGTTTCACCATAGACATCATAGACTCATCATTCTTTTTATGGCCATAAACTCAGTCAAAGGTGAAACTAATAAAATTCTGCTGTGAATATATATTTACCTTTGTTCCGCCAATTGCCTATGGAATTTTAGTCTGAGTGTTTCCTTCAAGGAAAAGGTCTCTGTGTGTAGACATACTTCAGTGGATTCTTAAGTTCAATGCTTCTATGAAAGGAATGTATCTGTGATTTGATGATCTGAGCTGGTTGAATTATTAAGATAACTTTGAACTATGTTTAGACAATCTGGCCTGGATGAAAACATTTTATAAGGAAAAAAAATAATAAAAAAATAAATTAATTCATTTTCTTTTTGGCTTAGTCCTTTCACTAATCTGGGGTCGCCACAGCAGAATGAACCGCCAACTTATCCAGCATATGTTTTACGCAGCGGGTGCTGTTCAGCTGCAACCCGTCTCTGGGAAACATACACACTCATTCACACACAGACTACAGACAATTTAGCCTACTCAATTCACCTGGGGCCTGTTTCAGTAAGGAGGTTCAAACAACTCAGAGTTTAAACTTGAACTCTGAGTTGATTTACCGAGAGATTAAAAACTCAGAGTTTTCGATTTCAGAACAGCTGATCTGAGTTGGGTCAATCAACTTCGAGTAGACCAACTCAGAGTTAAGCGCGCACACCGTGACTTTAAAAAGGCATTATCAATGGAGCGCAGACATTACGAGTGACTATGGCAATATCTTATAAAAGAGATCAGCATTTCTTTCTCCAGCTGAACTTGATGTTCTCATGCAAAGTTATAGCAAATATGAGTGTATATATTTGAAAAGAAGCAAACATCAGTGAAGAAGAGACAATTAGCGTGGGAAAACAGCTGCTCAAGTTAATGCCTAATTTCACTTTTTAAGTATTTAAATATTTAAGTATAATAAAATAAGTAATGTAATTTGTGACGTTTATATTTTTTTTCTAAACTTTTTTATACATTTATTAGTTTTAAATGATTTAACAGTGCACTTGTGTGTCTGCCTTTTTTTATTGATCAAGTGATAGAGGTTAATATAACATTTAAAAGGTAAGCAGTACTAAAAATAATTTTTAGAAAGAATAATAATCCCATTAATCTAGTTACAGTGCATGTCGAAGGTGAATTTAATTAAATTATTTATTAAAAAAGGATAAGCCATTCTAGTACAGTTCTTCTGTGTGTGACTAAAATGTAGGCAATAGCTATGTTTCCATCCAAATATATTACATAAATTTATGTGCAAAACTGGAATATTGCATAAAAGATGCGAATAAAATTCCATCCAACGAGTCAAAGAGAAAAAAATTGTCACTTCCTGATTAAACTGGCACCAAATATCAACAGTAAAAACAGAATTTACTGTGGTAGAAGAAGCTGCGTCAATTAATTCTTTATTTAGCCTAATTAATGTACTTGCACCTCGATGTCAGAAGACAATGCTGAAACACAATGAACACGTGGGGGCGTCTGAAGCCATGAGACGCGGAGACTCTTGACATGCACCAGACGTTCGGAGGTAATTAATAATATACACTAATACTGAAACAGTTAAGGCATTTTAGAATGACTAAAACAATATTTAAGACATGTTACAGTGTGCTCAGCCAGCTGGTTTGTCCATTTACACACATTTTCATTATCATATGATCATGATCTTTTTTTTAATGTACATACTGTAATTTGTTCAGTAAAAGTGTTTCCATCGTAGTTTATGCGCACATTTTCTATCGAATAAAAGTTTATCCTACTCAGTTATGCGCGTTTTTTATACATATATTTTAAAAAGTTATGTGCATCATGACGTTTCTATCAATTGTTTTTATGCACGTATCCAAAATGAGCATAAAAATAGGTGGGTGGAAACGTAAGGCTAAGGCGAGAAATACCGCTTCATCTTTAAAAAAGGGGAGGAGACAGACAGAAACTCTGAGTTTAGAGAATAAAACCTGCTTCTGACCAGGTTAGATTCACAGAGTAAGTTACCACAGTAACTGACTCTGAGTTAAAGTTACCTTTCTTTCAGAAACAGGCTTGACTTACCCTGCTTTCTCCAGTTTAACAAACCTGCCATTTTGAAATGGAAATCCCAGAGTTTCTCTCATTTCAGGGTTAAAATACTCTGAGTTTTCAGTTAACCTCCTTTCTGAAACAGGCCCCTGTACTGCATGTCTTGTGAACTTGCAAACTCCACACAGAAACACCAACTGACCTAGCCAAGGCTCGAACCAGCGACCTTCTTGCTGTGAAGCGACAGCATTACTTACTGCACCACTGCGCCACCCTAAAATAAATTAAAAATATTATATATACATAAAAATAGCTTGGACTAAGCTAGGACTCTACTTCCTAATCCTCTCTTCAACTATTTAATAGATAAAATAGTAAGAATATTTTTTTTGTTTTTGTATATATATATATATATATATATATATGTGTGTGTGTGTGTGTGTGTGTGTGTGTGTGTGTGTGTGTGTGTGTGTGAATAGTAAAATAAACAAATATGGTAAAAACATAAAAGGCTGATCATGAAATTTAAAGCAAAGCAAATTATGAAATTTAAAGGTGCCATCGAGTGCATGCTGGTATATGCTGTGTTCTCAGTGTACAGTCGACTTGGGTAATATACGGAGACCCAATAAATTATAAAAAATATCGGGACCTGACCTGGACCTGCCTAACCATTTAAAATATCCTGGGTCTTACTTAACCTAGTTTACTACTAAGTTTTGATTTAGATGAAAAATAGGTTAAATTGTAATTATTCTCAACAAAAGGGATCAACACATATGTATTAAAGTTGTATATATAAGTTACATAAGTTTAGAAAGTCTACTTCTAAAATAAAGTCTAGTATCTTTTCACTTTAACAAAAATCCTAGTAAGAGCTGAGTGAAATGACACAATACATAGATGTGCATTCAACATTTTTACACAGTTAACTTGGCTGTTTCCTCATTAAAACATCAATGCCAAATTTGATGATATACATTTTAAACTAACAAAAACTTGTCAAATTGACCTCATGCCTTTTTTAAATGTATAAATTAAACTACTGATCTGTTTTATTATCTCTTAGAATAAAGGTGCAGTAGCTGATTGTCTTCAGAAGCAATTTTTGCTGTGCTAGTTGAAAGTCGGCATTCCAATAGTAGTGATTAAAGTAAATGATCTAAATGTATTTATATGTTTTTTTTTTTTGTTTTGTTTTTTATTCTGGGAAAGGCATAAGACTAAAAAATGTTCATCCAATTAAAATTAGTCAGGCCAATAATTCCCACAATTCTGATAAGTAGCCCAAACTGTCTGTCAACAAATGTAGATTTGCACATCTGCGCAGCCGTTCACACAGACAGTTCTGTTGTGCACGCACGTTCACCTGCACACGAGAGAGTGACAGCAGTAAAAACAAATGCTTGATAAATCAAAACTTTTGAAAATCCTGGATCAATATTGGGGTTACTTTTGCACACTGGAGGAAGGGTGACACCATGGCTGAAGTATTTCTTTTAGACAGATAATGTTATGTTTTATAACTATTTTAGTCATACAAAGCTTATGTAGATTGTTCAGCCACTCAAATCTTCCAGCGAAAGATTAATGTAACTATTTTCATTTTCATAAAGTACCTTACAGCATCGTTAATGTAGGTTTTTATTTAGTTTAACAGCAAAACAAAAGTATTTCTGCCTAGCCTGCTTTACTGAGGTGAAGTTGGTTTTATATTCACTTTGGTTCATTTTTTAACAATGACAACCTGTGGCACGTTTCCTATATTGTTTACCATGCTACTCTGAATATTCGTTCTGAAACAGCATGTAAGTATTGCTTAGTAATAAGTGTAATTCCTGCACCCCGTTGACCAAACACTAAGCATACAGTAGTCACTTTAGGACAAGACATGTGAGAGAGTGAAACCAGTGATCTTTGCATGCATGTAATATTGCACAAGTTTTGCTTGCTAACTGGAAATGTGCTAGATATAATATAGTTTTTTGTTAGGAATTGTAGTATTATAAAGTACTATAAAGTTTTCTGGCGAATTACATGATTAGTGGGTTGTCTACTGTCATCTTTAAGGAGTGATTTTGTGATATCAGGAGGCGTGGCTTTGGACAGCAGGGTAGGGACTGTGTTTTAAAGATATTATGTTAACGGATAGCATTTAAGCAGATCACCTA